TTGAGGTGTGAAGCGTATCATCCCTGATGTATACTGTGGTGTCTAGGAAGTTGACGTGTGTGTTTGAGTATTCCATTTTTAGTTTGATTGATTGATTGGTGTTGATCAATGAGTAAAATTGTTTTAGGTTTTCTTCACCTTCTGTCCATATGATGAAAATATCATCAATATAGCGATAGTATCTGTATGGTTTTTGTTCCTTGCTGTTCAGGAATTTTTCCTCCAGGTCAGCCATAAATAAATTGGCATATTGAGATGCCATTTTACTTCCCATTGCAGTACCCATACATTGAAGATAGACGTTTTTATTGAAGGCAAAGTAGTTGTGTGTAAGTATGAATTCAATGAGCTGTGTAACATCCTCAGCAGTGTATTTATGGTTTGGTGAGGATGATAAGGATCTGTGACATGCAGCTAATCCATCCTTGTGAGGGATATTACTATACAGGGATACTACATCCATAGTCACTAAAAGTGTATTAGATGATAATTGCTGTAAGTTGTTGATCTTGTCAGAAAGTCAGTTGTGTCTTGCAGGAAACTAGCAGTATTCTTGACTAACGGTTTTAAATTTTTTTCTATAAAGCCTGAGATTTGTTCGGTGAGTGTATTCATACCTGTTATAATGGGTCTGCCTGGATTTCCTGGCTTGTGTACTTTGGGTAGCTTTTGCTTTGCTGTGTCTTATCTCTAGGCTAACCCTAGGCTTGTGTTTTGTTTCTGCTTTTTTTTTTTTTTTCTCATCCCCCACACATCTCTTCTAACATTCTGCTAAAACTTTGTAACAGTACTGCTTGGATCTTGAAGAAGGGGACATACCCTGAAAGCTTGTCCTCAAAATTGTATGTTAGTGCAAATAAAAAAAGCATCACGTCAGTACTCAATTGTTTCTGTCGCAAGTGCACTAATACGGCTACAATCACGTGTATATTACCATACAGATGAGGTGCCCAGACTTACGTTTTATGTAATTTCTATAATTTAAGCTATGGTAGTGCTATGTTAAGTGCTCATGTACACAGATGCTTAGCAGTGTAAAATTCCCAGCGCTGTCTGGACCCTGGAGATTTGCAAAACCCTGTACAATCACCGTTACATGTGAATGGATATGATCAAGTAAATGCCCATGGCATCTGCCCAGTGTGGGTAAATGTCAATGTAAAAACCATCAGCATTTACCCTAGAATAGTTGCCCATATGGAAGAAAAATATATTTGAAAAATATTCTTCCCAAATATATTGACATATATTTGAAATACTACAATTTTGGCCATATTCAATATATTTAAAAAAAAAAAAAAAAAAAAAAAATATATATATATATATATATATACATATTTCAAATATACTGTATGTCTTTAAAAGTACAAATCTACATTTTTGGAATGCATTTACAAATATATGTAAAAATATATGTTGAAATTACTTTTTTATATGTTAAAAAAAATCTGAAGAATATATTTAATACATACTCAATATATTCTTAAAATATATATTTTTTCAAATATATTCTTCAGATTTTTTTTAACATAAAAAAAAGTAATTTTAACATATAGTTTTACATATATTTGTAATGTAGATTTGTATTTTTAAAGACATACAGTATATTTGAAAATGTATTTTTAAAAATATTTTTCATATATCTTGTAATAAAAACGCATTTTAACATACTATATATAGTCAGGTCCATAAATATTGGGACATCGACACAATTCTAACCTTTTTGGCTCTATACACCACCACAATGGATTTGAAATGAAACGAACAAGATGTACTTTAACTGCAGACTGTCAGCTTTAATTTGAGGGTATGTACATCCAAATCAGGTGAACGGTGTAGGAATTACAACAGTTTGCATATGTGCTTCCCACTTATTAAGGGACCAAAAGTAATGGGACAGAATAATAATCATAAATCAAACTTTCACTTTTTAATACTTGGTTGCAAATCCTTTGCAGTCAATTACAGCCTGAAGTCTGGAACGCATAGACATCACCAGACACTGGGTTTCATCCCTGGTGATGCTCTGCCAGGCCTCTACTGCAACTGTCTTTGGTTCCTGCTTGATCTTGGGGCATTTTCCCTTCAGTTTTGTCTTCAGCAAGTGAAATGCATGCTCAATCGGATTCAGGTCAGGTGATTGACTTGGCCATTGCATAACATTCCACTTCTTTCCCTTAAAAAACTCTTTGGTTGCTTTTGCAGTATGCTTTGGGTCATTGTCCATTTGCACTGTGAAGCGGCGTCCAAAGAGTTCTGAAGCATTTGGCTGAATATGAGCAGATAATATTGCCCGAAACACTTCAGAATTCACCCTGCTGCTTTTGTCAGCAGTCACATCATCAATAAATACAAGAGAAGCAGTTCCATTGGCAGCCATACATGCCCACGCCATGACAGTACCACCACCATGCTTCACTGATGAGGTGGTATGCTTAGGATCATGAGCAGTTCCTTTCCTTCTCCATACTCTTCTCTTCCCATCACTCTGGTACAAGTTGATCTTGGTCTCATCTGTCCATAGGATGTTGTTCCAGAACTGTGAAGGCTTTTTTAGATGTCGTTTGGCAAACTCTAATCTGGCCTTCCTGTTTTTGAGGCTCACCAATGGTTTCCATCTTGTGGTGAACCCTCTGTGTTCACTCTGGTGAAGTCTTCTCTTGATTGGTGACTTTGACACACATACACCTACCTCCTGGAGAGTGTTCTTGATCTGGCCAACTGTTGTGAAGGGTGTTTTCTTCACCAGGGAAAGAATTCTTTAGTCATCCACCACAGTTGTTTTCCGTGGTCTTCCGGGTCTTTTGGTGTTGCTGAGCTCACCGGTGCGTTCCTTCTTTTTAAGAATGTTCCAAACAGTTGTTTTGGCCATGCCTAATGTTTTTGCTATCTCTCTGATGGGTTTGTTTTGTTTTTTCAGCCTAATGATGGCTTGCTTCACTGATAGTGACAGCTCTTTGGATCTCATCTTGAGAGTTGACAGCAACAGATTCCAAATGCAAATAGCACACTTGAAATGAACTCTGGACCTTTTATCTGCTCATTGTAATTGGGATAATGAGGGAATAACACACACCTGGCCATAGAACAGCTGAGAAGCCAATTGTCCCATTACTTTTGGTCCATTAACAAGTGGGAGGCACATATCCAAACTGTTGTAATTCCTACACCGTTCACCTGATTTGGATGTACATACCCTCAAATTAAAGCTGACAGTCTGCAGTTAAAGCACATCTTGTTCGTTTCATTTCAAATCCATTGTGGTGGTGTATAGAGCCAAAAATGTTAGAATTGTGTTGATGTCCCAATATTTATGGACCTGACTGTATATATATATATATATATATATATATATATATATACACATATATATATACTATATGTCAATATATTTAGGAAGAATATTTTTTAAATATATTTCAAATATATTTTTCTTCCATGTGGGTGTGTACAGCCACTCACTTCTATTAGTGTACAGAAAGCGCCGGCGATTTTATGCTTCAGCACACAAGAGCGTCCGTGTGCCTGAGGCATAATAGTGAGTGTTTACTGTAATGTATAGAAAAGTATTGACTGGTTAGGTACCAAACACTTCTGTATTACAAGGTCCAGAAAGATGATGGACACATTGCCTCATCTAAGAAAGCCATACATAAAATCAATATCATGTTTAATGTCTATGAAATCATGATCTCATTCTGTGCAATAATATGTTGGTTGTTGGTCTGTAAAACGTGGTCAGCAAGAAATATTGATACAGTTAGAAAAGTGACATTAGAATGAATGGCTTCTACAAGATCATAAATACTTCAGCATTCTAACCTCTCACCCCTTGGTTTTCTTGATTGGTGAGGACTGGCTCAGTGACAACCTCTAGAGTAGGGGTGTCAAACTCAATTCCATCACGGGTCGCATCAGCATTATGGTTGTTCCCAAAGGATCGGTTGTATCTGTAAGACTATGTATGCAGGGTTCAGGAGTGTGCTACTTACAGAGTGCAGAGTTAAGGAATATGCTATGTACAGAGTGCAGTGCTTAGGGGTGCACTACATACAGAGTGTAGGATTCAGGATTAGGATACGTACAGAGTATAGAGTTCAGGAGTACGTGGCATACGAAGTGCAGAGTTCAGGGTTGTGCTCGCTACAGAGTGCAGGGTTGAGGAGTGCACCATGCAGAGTGTAGAGTTTAGGGGTGTGCTATGCACAGAGTGCAGGGTTCTGCTCTCATTCACAAGCTGTCCACATTTCACTTCCACCCCTTCTCCTTGGCTTTGACCTCTGTACCACTCTCCCACCCCATTCCCCACCTCTGCACACATCTCCCTCCACAGCCCTTATCTCTTCCCCCCAAAAGCTTCCTCACATCTCACCTACCCGGCTTGGCTGTAGTATTTCCCAGCAGTGTAGGCAGATCTGCCTCTCTCTTACTTGCAGGGAGATCATTGGTCGGCATCTGGTCCCGCTGGGAGTGAGAGCAAGGCAGGCAGGGATCTGTGAGAGCAGGAAGCTGCTAAGAGGAAACCCGTCCTTGTAAACACAGAAGGCTTCTGTGTTTACAAGTGGCAATGGAGATTGGAGATCGAGAGCTGGAGGTGGCATCACGGAGTTCCATCACGTTCCAGCCTGGTAAGCCAGATTTGGGCCGCGAGCCTTTTGTTTGACAAATATGGCAGGGCTTAAAATTTCAAGTCCTGAGCTACCAGCAAGGCCTTATAGTTACTCGCCACCAACAAACACACACAAACAGAGACACCTATACACACACACAGACATGTACTGTATATACACACACATACACACACAGAAACATGTACACACACGCACAGAGACACATGTACACACACAGACACATGTATACACACACAAGCACGTACAGACACGCATACACACAGATACATGTACATACACAGAAATACACATGCACAGACACATGTACATACACACAGACACATGTACATACATACACACACAGACACATGTACATACATACACAGACACATGTACACACAGACACATGTACGTACATACACACAAACACACACGTACACGCACACACACACAGACACATGTACACAGACACATACGTGTACATACATGCAGACACATGTACAGATACACACATGTACATACACAGACACATGTACAATTGTACATGCATACACAGACACACACAAACACACATGTACACGTATACATACCCCCCCCCATAAAAAGTTGTAGTACTTTGTTGTTTACTCACAGATCCGGGTACTGCACTCTAGGGGGAGGCAGAGATCACAGCACACACTCCTTGCTTTGCTTTCACTGCGCTCAGCTATTGAGCAGTCTGATGGCTCCCAGTACCATTGACAGATCCGGCCTGAGCTACGAGGATGCTCAGCAGGACGGCCCTGGGGGACACACTCGCCCCCACCATAATTTCTACTCGCCGTTGGCGAGCAGGCGAGTGGAAATTTCAAGCCCTGCTCTGGAGTGTCCACAAAAATCTGCTGCCAGAATCACATTTATTCTGAGCAAACTGGACTCTGCACAGCAATCAAGACCAGAAGAACTTTGTTAAATACCTGTCTGTCAAGGTCCTACCTTTCCTCAGACCTTGTGCTGCTCCATGTGCTGGCATCCATCTTAGGTGTCTGCAAAGCATTGTGGGATCCTTTATGCTTTCAGCCCTCTGCGGCTCCTCCCCCAGGAGGTGCGGCTTATCACATATAAGTCTGCTGTTTGTGGCTGTCCATTGCATTCGTGCCCTGTCTGTTGCACAACAGCAAGCTCCTGTTTAGCTACTGATTGCTTTCCTGGATACCGACTCGGCTTTGGCTAAGACTCCTCCTGGCTTCTGACCCCGGCTCTGGCGACCATTCTTCCTGGCTCCTGATCCCGGCTCTGGCGACGATTCTTTCTGGCTCCTGATCCCGGCTCTGGCGACGATTCTTCCTGGCTCTTGACCCCGGCGTTGGCTACGATTTCCGCTGTTGGACTTGCAAAGACTCTTGTCTTATTTTTATATGAATAAACCTACCTTTAATTGCACCTCCTTGTGTGTCTGGCTCCTCGCTCCCTGACACTGTCATGGTTAGTGGCCAGACTTGGAGACCAGTAGCTATAGTGGTAGAAAGGTTCCCACCGACCAGCTGGACAAGTGCAGCAGCAGGTCTCCCTGGCAGATGACAAGACTCACGCGAGCTGTGAGTACTAATTGGTGTTCATCAGAGCTCCTGTTGGTGGAGGTGGCTTTTGCTGCATGTTAGTACTAGCTTTCAGTCCTCTGGATTGCCCCAACAGGAGGTGATCAAGATGTGATTCAGTAGCAGATATAGCAGGTAGGGATCAAGCAGAAGTGTAGTCAGTAGATAAGCCAAAGGTCAATAAAAAGTGTTCGTAGGTTTGGATCAAGCAGAATTGTAGTCAGTAGACAAGCCAAAGGTCGGTAACAAGAGTTTGTAGGTTGGGATCAAGCAGAATTGTAGTCAGTAGACAAGCCAAAGGTTGGTAACAAGAGTTTGTAGGTTGGGATCAAGCAGAAGTGTAGTCAGTAGACAAGCCAAAGGTCGGTAACAAGTGTTTGTAGGTTGGGATCAAGCAGAAGTGTAGTTAGTAGACAAGCCAAAGGTCGGTAACAAGTGTTCATAGGTAGGGATCAAGCAGAAGTGTAGTCAGTAGACAAGCCAAAGGTCGGTAACAAGTGTTCGTAGGTAGGGATCAAGCAGAAGTGTAATCAAAGAACAAGCCAAAGGTTGGTAACAAGTGGTAGTGAAGATACGGACCGCAGCAGGAGAGACAACAGCAAGATATTGACTGGAGAGAGCACAATAATCTGGCAAACGGAAGTACCAAAACATGACCAAAATAGGAAGTACATGGGAGGAGCAAAGAGTTCAAAGTTCAAGAGAAACAAGTTTTCAGGCAAGGTCATTTAAGATATTGTCCAAGGAGCTGTCCAGTATCCTAGGTGGCTCAGCAAGAATAGACATTGCCAGACACAGCAGTGGTTGTGGGCTCAGTCCAAAGTCCTGACAGTACCTTTTATTCTTAATCCTGTTTATTTTTCTGTTGCTGCTGATATATATATACACACACACTGTATATATACTGTATATACCATCGTTTGTAGACGATATAACTTTCACACAAACCAATCAATATACACTTATTGGGATTTTTTACCAAAGACATGTAGCAGAATACATTTGGCCTAAATATAGGAAGAAATTCTATTTTTTTTTATGTATTGTATTGGATGTCTTTTATAGCAGAAAGTAAAAATTGTTTTTTTTTTTTTAATTTGTTTACATAATAAAAAATAAAAAAAACTCAAATGCCACCAAAAGAAAGCTCTATTTGTATGAAATTATATAAATTTCATTTCTGTGAAGTGTTGCATGACCGTGCAATTGCCAGTTAAAGTATCGCAGTGCTGAATAGCAAGAAATGCCTGGTCATTGCTAAACACTTCTTAAAGTCCCTATCTTGTAATTTTTAAGATAAGGGTGAAGTTCCTCTTTAAGGACAATTTGTGAAACTCACATGTTGCCTGATGTAGAATTTATGAGCTTGTGGGTGTAACTGTTCCTCAAATTTTGGACTGACTTCAGTTTCTGACCTTGCTTGTCTGTACTTATAAAGAACTCTTCCTTTCCTGACCTCAGCTGTTTTTTCTGGCTATGTGTTTTCACCTTGCTTTGGTTTTGAACTTTAACTCAAGTTAACCCATGGCAATGATCTTTTACAACTCTTCCAGATCGTGCTTCTGCCTCAATCTTTGACACTGAATTAAACCCCATACACATGGACCAAATATTAACCAAATTCAGCCTGTCCACTGGCTATCATTAAGCCTGTGTGTACAAGTCCTTGTCTTACAGAAGCAGATCTTACAACCTGCTTCTGTCTAATGAACACGCTGGAAAATCAGCAGCCAATCGGTATCTGATCAGCGCAGCGCAATGGCTGCAAGTGCTGACTGGTGTGTTCTGGTGGGGGGGTAGGACAGCATGGAGATCACTGTACTAACATCACATAGTACAGAGGCCTTTTTTTCAACCCTCTGGGTTGAACAAAAAAAATAAATTGCTGTGTGTACCTAGCAATCTGGCTAGATGTGGCCTTTAGTCAATACGCACCTCACCTGCTCCACGTTTCCTAACTTAAGCCTGGTACACACTAAGTTTTTTTTTTCCATTCAACCCAGCAAGCCCAACAACAACAAAAAAACCTTACAGATCACTGTACTGACACCAGTGATGTAAGTGTAGCACTACCCCCCCTAGGAGTCACTTTATATTTGGGTCCCCCTATAGTCCTGCAAAGCCAGGCAACACACATTTCCACACAGGCTTACATCCAAAGTCAGAGATCAGTCCATGAGCTTTGGTTTTGTTGGATGGGATGGGCTGTTCCGGTTGCTCCAGGCAATGGCGATATCAACACACATTGTTCTAACTTGAACAGATGAATCAAAAGCAAAGTCCTTCTCACCAGCCACCTGTAGAGCATCATGGAGATCTTCAGATAACCTGGTGTAGCTACCATAGTCAACAGCACTAACAGTATCATTTTCTTGGCTTGTCAGTTGCTAGGCATAGCGGCAGGCAGGTTGCTATAGGAAAATCCCAGAATAACGAGCCCCCACATGTAGTACTACCCACTTAGGAGTCACTATAGATTTGGGTCCCCCTATAGTCCTGCACAGCCAGGCAACACACATTTCCAGGCTTATATCCAGAGTCAGAGACCAGACCTTGAACTTTGGTTTTGTTGTTTTTATTCAGGGAATTTGAACTGAGATAGGGTTAGGGGTGTACAGGATGCCCAAGGGAACTGATGCACTGAGGACAACATCCTAGAACTATTCATAAGCCTTCTCTGCAACACAGTCTCTGTTGGAGAGCTAGCCAGCATCTCCTAATGCACCACCTCAAAACCCTAGATATACTCCTCTTCTTCACCCAGCAATCTGGAGGTATCCCTTAACAGGGGATTCAGTTCCTGTCACTTTAAGGGATGAACAGTCACTGGTAGGTGTCAAATCTGGTTTCCCACCAGAGTGCTCCTTCCGCTATCTGCCCAAGGGGAGCAGGGGGATACTCACTCTCCTCTCCTGTACCGCTGATGGGTTGGTAGCTGCTAACAGGCCTATCAGCTGGGCTGCTCTTTCCCTGCCATACAGGTGGTCCTCGCTCTGGGGACCAATGAAACTCTGAGCTTTCTTCCTTTCCAGCTCCAGGCCTGCAGGTAGGCCTTATCCCACTGGGCCTTCTCCAGCATAAACAGCGTGTTGAATATCACAGACATGGACCCAGCCTGGCTGCGCATGCGCCGTACCAACGACTCGGGAATGTCCTGACGTCACATCCAAAGGCTCTGCCCTGCGCGTTTCGTCATCAACGTCCTCACGGAGCGGATCCACTCCGTGTCTGTGATATTCAACACGCTGTTTATGCTGGTGTCGGCTAAGACACTGCTTTTTGTAAGTGCAATGTGTTTTGATTAAATTGGAAGTTTTATGAAGTACTGCACCATGAGTATTTATTCCCTTGTATTTTGAGTGGAGGTCTGATCATCCTAAGGATTCGGTGATTGAGGGGTGAAGTGGATCCGGATGATATATATTCCCTGCAGAGTATTGCTCCCTGGATACCAGTTACTAAGTTCCCAGTGTTGCAGCCTCAAGTTATTGATCATTGCTCCCAGAGCAGAAAGCGTTATATGCTGACATGATCAGCATCTCGCTCTGGTGAGTTTATTCAGTTAATTCGGTGGTGAATGCACTTTTGGTGATAGTTGGTTCAACAATTATTTCATCACATATTACTTTGGACTTTTTTGTTGGACTTCACAATTTTATTGATTTATATATCATTTGTTTGATTGTATTTCAATTTTTGACTGCACTGATTTTTTCGATTAGTTTATTCATTTTGTTTAGCACAACCTATATATTTTTTTGAATTTTTTTAAATGAAGCCTGCCTGAGTAGTAATTTGATTGTAACATAGACATTTTTTTTGCTAGTTTGTATATAAATGTGCATATAGGGTCAGGTATATTTGTTAATTACCTGTGTTTGCGCTGCTTCTTGTTTATGTGCTATACTATGATTGTCCTTTACTGTTCCTCCCAAGATTATCAGTCTTCTTTTATTGAAGAAACTCTACAGCTCACAGCACATTTGGTATTTTCATTCCCAAGCATGATTAATTTGACTGCAATTTCCGATTCACTTAGCGCACATTTGCATCTATATGCTCCCTTGTGGTGTGCTGTGGATTGTGATATGGCAGTGCATTCATTTGAACCACAATGACCCAAAAATTGGACATGCACCATTATTTCCCGACGCAGCAAACCATGATGTATGGTGGTCTGTTACCCAGCATTGTGCTGCACTCCAACACCAGGGTATTATTTTAGGAGAATTAAAAAACTAATGGCACTGTAGCAGATAAACACATGCATGGTGCATTGACGA